AGGTTTGCAGCTTTACAAAGGACTTGGACGTTTCCTCTTCTAGCCCTCATGACAGAAGGCTCTGTGATGTGGGAGCTAGGAAATCCATTTGACAGATAAGGACCTGAAGCTCTGGAAGGTCAAGAGTCTTCCCCAAAACAAGCTATCAGAACTAGAAATTAATAAGTTTTCTGACCCAAGTGTCTACGACACGCCAGCAGTGTCTTTTTCTATTTCTCAAAGCTCTCCCTGAGGCCAAACCCTGAGCATCTCCAGGGGGATGTACACTAATCTCTGGTTTACTTTAGATGTTATGTCACCTGCAGGTGCCAAGCCCAGGGGTTGCCTTCCATGATCACTTGTGCTGATGACAGTCTGTGTTCGTGCTCCAGAGCAGGGCCAGTGCAAGCACTCTTCTATCAATAGCGGAAGTGATCCTCTCTCCACTCCCTGTGGTTTTAACGATTCGGCTATTTTTGTAGTTATATTTTTAGGATGTCCAACATGTATCAAGGAAACCATGTAAAAGGCTATGGAGCCGATGAATCAAATACAGCTTTTTTTGTTATCTTTCCATTAGTAGAATCCATAAAGCTGAAAAGAAGGATTCTGAGATAAGAGGATCCTTTGCTTGGGCTCCTATAAAAGGAAACCCACCAGCCTGCCCTCTCTGCTCATGCAGAGGAGGGGCTGGAAAGAATGACACAGCCTCCAGTGCCCTGGGCTGGCCGGCCTGCAGAACCGGCAGATTACCATCAACTTTGCTGTCACATAAAAGATGCTCCCAGCTCGGCTTTTTTTTTTTTTAATGCTCCACTCATCTTTGCAAGGAATACACTTTTAAGTATAGTCCAGATGGTGATGGATGAACATGTTTCTTTGTCCTTCTCCAAGACAGGGTAATTGTGCATCGCCCGTGCAGGCAGTGGTCATTTTTAATATTTAAATGACATCTGAGTTGGAGATTAAAATCTGTAAAGAGCAATGAGATCCTAGGGAAAAAGAAGGGGAAGCCACTTCTACTTTCAAATGCAGTAAAACAGATGCGCCTTCCATTCCAGACATTAGTATTAAAATATCTAAGATTCCCTGTAATGCTAGAAGCCCACAGGAGGAAATCTCTCTCTTCTCTCTCTTCTCTCTCTCTCTCTCTCTCTCTCTCTCTTCATTACACATGTATAGATCATGAAGTTGATTCCAGAGGGCAAGGTACATTTTGTTTTTAAAAGCCTAGAATGTAACCCCTGATAACCCAGCATATGAACTGAGCAATTAATTAATGATATGGAAATACAGTCACAATCCTTAATTATAGGAAAATAGTAACTACCATAATAACTATTATCTTGAAATATCCTCAAATACTTTACAGAGGTGATGTAATTTTTTCCGGCACACCCCTCATAGGAAAGGTGTCATTATGTTCATCTTGAAGACAAATATAATCTCTACTCTCGATTTATGTGTCATTTCTTCTGAGAAGCTTCATGATTTGTTTCCTTGTTCATCTTCACAATATGAACTTAGACACTCAACATCAAGTAATTTTGTAGAGTTAGGGGCAGAATAATCTGTATTTCTACAGATGATTGATTAAAATTCAATGTTTTCTAAACTGTTTTGATCATATATCCTATGAAATTATTAAATGTCCACAAATATGGAAATTTAAAAGTATCAGGTAAAAAATAAACATAACTTGAAAGTCTAGTGCTTTTGCAGAACTTTCCTGGGGTACATGCAGCATCCCCCCCCCCGCCTCCACTTTGGAATAGGCAACTGGGGGAGAAGGAGGTAGAGAAAGAATTAACATGGTTCTTTTCTTCCTCATTCCCTCCAATTCACCCTGACAATTGCAGCTCTCACAGTTCTATCTGGAGCTAACATTTAGGGTAAAAGGAAAATGGGAAGAAAAGTGAAAGAAGGAAAAAAAAAGAAGAAGAAATGGGTAAAAGACACAAGGAGTGGGTTATAGAAACACAGAATGGCTGTTCCTACACATTAGCGTTACGGCATAGGAGGCTTCTGAGAGGGTGCCGTGACAAAATACCACAGACCCACAGACTAGGGAGCTTAAACAATAGAAATTCATCTTTTCACGGTTCTGAAGGATAGAAGTCCAAGATCAAAGTGTTGGCAGGTTTGGTTTCTCCTGAGGCTGCTCTCCTTGAGTTGGGAGAGGGAAGGGCCACCTGCTCACTGTGTCCTCATGTGGTCTTTCCTGTGTGTGCCCACATCCCTGCTGTCTGGCTGTGAGTCCCAACTTCCTCTTCCTATACAGATACTAGTCAGCTTGGATTAGCCTCGTTTTAGCTTACATATCTCTTCAAAGGCCCTGTCTCCAATATATTCACATTCCGAGGTGCTAGGATTTAGGGCAATGAATTTGGTGGAAACAATTCAACCCATAATACGTACTTATTAAAAAATATATATATTTTATTGATTTTTTACAGAGAGGAAGGGAGAGGGAGAGGGATACAGAGTTAGAAACATCAATGAGAGAGAAACATCGATTCAGCTGCATCCTGGGGATGTGCCCGCAACCCAGGTACATGCCCTTGACCGGAATCAAACCCGGGACCCCTCAGTCCGCAGGCCGACGCTCTATCCACTGAGCCAAAACCGTACTTTTATTTAAAAGCATCTCCTGCTTTTAGGCAAGGGTGATCTTAGAAATATGTAATGACCGTACAGCATGAGTGCCGAAGGAAATGGTTGTTAGAAGATACACTGAAGCACATTAAAATGTTCACTTGAGCACATTCCAAGTTCACTTGAGTGAGCGTGGATTCGAATTGGTCAGAATCAAACCAGAAGTGGTTAGGAGTGCTCCGCCCACAAGAGCTAGGAGAGAGACTTTGTCAGAATAGAGGACATAATTTGATTGGCTGTAGCTTAAGCAGTTGCCTTTTTGGGAAAAGCCGAGGTGGTTGTCTGTGATTGGTTGTTCTTAAGTTTCATTTTCTCAGGAGTGTATTTACAGGGATCCCCATGGCTCAGGTTTAGTCTGCTTCCCTAGGTTACTGAGTATGAGAGCCATCTGGGTCTCCTGGCTCCTTGTTGAGTTCCTTGAACACAGTCAACAATGCTTGTTCCCTCCAGTGAGTCACTCAGGTGACCTGACTTAAGCCCCCTCCCCGGTTAGTCTCCCAGGGTGATGCCATTCACCTGCTGGCGGCTTCCTCACAACAGTTTACGCGAGACCTTCCAGAGACTCAGGACGAGACAGATCCTCCAAGTTTGTTTTCGTGCTGGTTCTGACCATGACCTCCCGGAAGAGCTAGCCTCCGCCTCTCCTCCCTCCCTGTAAAAGGACAGATGACAAACCCAGCCGTTCCCCTTTCCACGTTTTGTGAGTGAGAGGGTGTTTCCAACATGACTTGCGCCAGAGGAGGCCTCCCCGCGGAGAGTCCCCACCCCCACTCCGGGGAGCACTCACATGTGCTCTGTGTGGGCAGTCTCAGGTCCAGCAGTCCTCCGGGAGGTCGGACAGCCTCCCCTGCCGCCAGCTGCACCAGGTGAATGAGGGGCGGTAGACCCTGGAGACGAGGTTGGGGGCTTGGGGCGGTGAGCAAAGGCCTCAAGGAGAAGTTCTAAAATGGCTGCGAAACACACGCATATGTGCTTGCCCCCACTTTAGAAAGAGCTGACCTTCAATAGCCCGATTTAAAAGTATGTGAACGGGGGTTATGTCACACCATAAACGAAGTCTCCAATTTCGAACACTGTTACATTGATTTTCTGGTTCCTTTAAGCGGTAAGCCTTTCTTTCTGCATTAAAACAGTATGCATTTCTTTCCGTATTGATAGTATAATCTAATTGGCAAAATGATGATATGTGTATATATTATGTAATTAAGTAGTTATATAAAGTCAGGAGAAATTAATGCATGTATTCATTCACTTAACAAGCGTTTAGCCAGCTTATTCCACATGGTGGAAAGGAGGCCAAACATTCGGAACACAAAAATGAACGCATTCCTGCCCTTGAAGGGCTCAGCGTTACCTGGGGAAGAGAGGCAGAGTGAACAGGTATAATCTAGAGAGACTGGGTCTCATTGGACTCCTGCATGACAGTCACCCCAAGGCCTGGTTCATACGGACTGCTGGGCCGCCTCCCATCCCCCACCCCCTAGTTTCTGATTCAGTGGGGCCAGAAATGTGCATTTCTAACACGTGCGCAGGTAATGCCGCTGCTGGTGAGGCTCCACTTTGAGAGCCACTGATCTAGTGTTACAAGTGGCAGCTGAGGAGGAGTTTCCAGCACTGGCTGGAGGGCCAGGGGGTTCAGGGAAGGTTTCATAAAGAAAGAGTTTCAAAGGACAGGTGGGGAAGGATCAGGAGGGGGGATTGGGACATGCCAAGTACATTTAGTTCTGAAGGACAAAAGGAGAAAGTACATATGGTTTGAAAAAGAATGCAAGGAATTCCATTTGGCTAGGATGCAGTTTGAGTTTGAAGTAGCTGCGGGAGATAAAGCTGGAGAGAGATGCAGGCCCAGAGCCACGGTGGAGGGCCCGGGGTGAACGTTGTCCTCTGAGGATTATAGACCCGTGAATGTCCAGAGCTGAAGTTGGAAGACAGCAATGTGTTCCAAGGAAAGAATCCTGGTAGAAGAATTCTGTCAGTTCCCTTTCTTCAGAACTGGCTTCCTTCTGAGTCTGGCACAGGGCTCTCCGGCCTTTTGGAAGAAATCTTTGTCATTTCTCTGAAGTGACAAATCTCACTGGAGGTGACAGGAGAATAGAAAGGGTGTGTTGATTGCCTGTAACCAGAACTGTGTGGAGGGGATTAAGTTTTTTTTGCCATTAATCCATGACATTGAGCATGACCTTGAGTATGATACAATAATTGTTTCGTTATGATTGACTCTTAGAAAACTCTAAGCTTCACCCAACTCTAAGGGCCTCCAGGTCATTCCAAGGGGAGGGTGACAGGCCTGGGAAGGAGGGGTTGGAGAGGGGGAGACCCTGATAGCAGAAGGAGTGATGAAATGTGCTCCGTTCCTTTCTCTCTAGGGGAAGATGATGACGACGATGAATGTGGGGAGGAGAAGCTGCCCTCCTGCTTCGATTATGTGATGCACTTTCTGACTGTGTTCTGGAAGGTCCTCTTTGCCTTCGTGCCCCCTACAGAATACTGGAATGGCTGGGCATGTTTCATTGTCTCCATCATCATGATTGGCGTACTGACAGCTTTCATTGGCGACCTGGCTTCCCACTTCGGCTGCACCATCGGCCTGAAAGATTCGGTGACTGCGGTCGTGTTCGTGGCACTCGGAACTTCAGTACCAGGTAGGGAATACATTTGCCTTATGACCTTATCCTGCCTAATAATTGCAAGATCTGTGATAACAAACCAGGCCTCTGAAAAGACAGGAGCCCAAAGGCATAAGTAATGTCACTGCCAGGACATTGTCATGGCATTTTTCAAGGTTAGAAAGCTGATCAGTATCATGATGATGATAGGAAAGCATTCCCAGAGGGCCTGCATGGCCTGCTTGGTGAGGGCAAGTTGATTTGATGGATAGATTGGTAGATGAGCTTCCCAATACAATTAGCCCTTTCAAAAGGACAAAACAAAACAAAATTACAGAATCATGTTTAAGAACAAAATTTCTGTCTTTTATATAATTAGTAAAGTTTGGATGATTTCCATGAAACTCCGTATTCATTGGGTAACTAAGATAAATACTTACTGAAGACCTGATTTAATGTTCTCTTGACCCAAGTATTAATGGGAGTAAATAAAAGAGGCAGACATTGATGGGGACAGGGAAAAAGTAACCACACAAAGTGCACATTTCATGGGTGTCCCTTCATGCATTGCTATAAGCTGAATTTTTCTTCCAGCCCACAACTGTCGCTCATTATGGTTGGGCAGACTTCTGAGTAAGACATCATCCTCCCAAACATGACATTAACAGCAGTAATTTTAAAACTTTTGTGGGCATCAAAATTACCTGGGAGCTTCTTTAAAAAAAATGCGAATGTCTGAAACCCACCACTAACCTATGAAATCAGAAGACCTAGGGTCCAGAAATGTGTGTTTTGAGCTCACAGGTGATTCTGTGCACATCAGAGCTTATTGTAACTAAACTTCTGGGCCTCTTCCCCAGCACTAGTTGACACCTTGACAGATGTATGATATTAACTTTGAGCAGCCCACATTCTCTACCATGTAGCACAGTGGTTCTCAGCCTTGGCTGCATATTAGAATCACCTGGGAATTTTTTTAAAATCCTGATTTCTGGACCTGATCCTCCGGAAATTCTGTTTCTTTGTTACTTATGTTGTGGCCTTACCCCATAACAGAGAAACAGAATTTCCGGAGGATGGGGCCCAGAAATCAGGATTTTAAAAAGATTCCCAGGTGATTCTAATATGCAGCCAAGGTTGAGAACCACTGCTGTAGCAGGTCAAGGACAGGTATTACAGTACTTGACCTGGGGGAAAGGCAGGACTTAAGGGGAAATACAGCCCTGCTGATGGTATCATTCAATGTTCCATAGTTACCACAGCCTTTTGTCAACGCTGTGATTTCTGCATGCCATCATTAGCAACCTTGGCTTTTGGTTTTGAGTCTGAAAACAAGTACAGTTTGAATCATGTATATCCGTTCACTGAAATCCTCTAGTTCAGTGGTTCTCAACCTTGGCTGCACATTAGAATCATCTGGGAATCTTTTTAAAATCCTGATTTCTGGGCCTCATCCTCCGGAAATTCTGTTTCTTTGTTATGGGGTGAGGCCACAACATTAGTAACAAAGAAACAGAATTTCCGGAGGATGAGGCCCAGAAATTAGGATTTTAAAAAGATTCCCAGGTGATTCTAATGTGCAGCCAAGGCTGAGAACCACTGCTCTAGTTGTTTTCCACTCAGATACACATCATCTCAGTGACTGAGTATCAGTTACTTAACTTCTCTGAGCCTCACTTTATTTGTAAAAGGGGGATAATCATACTTTGAAATGCGGTAAGGACAGGAAAAAATGCCTATAAATTGTGCATCTGGTGAAGCTTCTGGGACATGGAAGGAATTTAATAAAATAGTAGCTTTTGTGATGAGTTATGGTGCATAGCTTAGGAAGATCTGACCAGTATGTATCTGGTTAGCCATAGCATACGTGCTACCCAACTGATGGACAATTTGGGGGTCCTAATCACAGGCCTGGCATGTTTGCTCCGACTTCTGGCATGGTTTTGGTGTCCAACTGAGTTGATGGGGAGCCAGGGGATTTAGAACGTACTCTTACTCCTGCTCTAGTGAGCAGGGCTATGCAAAGTCTTCCAGTTGACTGCTCATCCTCCGAGCAAGGCAGGCTGCCTCTCAACCTCAGCTCTGTTCTGGCAGTTCCAAATTTGGTCTTTATTTTGAATTTTTTCCAGAAATGACCAGAAATTTACCAAGTAGGAGGAAAATTGTAAAACACTCATATTTTAAGTTGCTTTGTTTATAGAACATATATACAACTAAAAGAACTAAATGCTTGAGGTCTACTTTGCCTAAGGCTTAAATCGCTCTATCAAATGGTGCCCAGATTAGCACATACTGTTGTTGGCTGTGGCTTAACCCTTGAGGAAAATATGTTCAAATTACGGTAATAAAGGCAAAATTAGGTCTCCCATCACAGTTATTCAAAGTCAGCAGTTGGTCCTAGCAAATGCATCTCTTGCTTTCAAAAGGATTTTAAAAATGCTTTTCCTACATCAAATCCTTGTTCCAAAAAATTTTTTTTTAATTTCCCAACTCCTCATCTCAATATCTCAAAACTGGCTCCTTTTTCTAACACCAATCTTCCAGAATGGCTCCCTGCATCTTTTGTATGAATGCTTTTGAATGGTGTGCCATCATACAACTAAAAAATATTTTTCTGTAACACAAAATGTGGATTACAGTAAACCTGTGTTTGGAGGATCATTTGTTCTGCCACTTAAAACCAGCTCAGTTCCCAGGGAGAGGCATCAAGAGGTAAGAAAGCCTGTTGGGGAGAACACAACAGAATAATTTGTTGCCAAAATGCTTTCCCTACACTGCCGTAAATTCTTCCCATCGGGATACAGATTTCTTTGCTCTGCTATTGGGAGAACTTCTGTAATTTGTTGCAATATTAACTGTGCAGCATGCTCCCCAAACAATATATTCATAGGCAATCGCAAATAATCATATCTATATAAACAGACTTTTATTTTCAAAAAACAGCTGTGCAAATTGAACAAGATGCTGAATGAACATAATATTTCTGACTTTTCCTCACTGATGATTCCGAGCAGTGCTTTATTTTATCTCCTGAATTTGAAAAAAATAAGAATGCTGTTGTTCCCCCGTGACAAAGCCCAGTTGCTACAGGCAGAAGAAGGATGAGGAACGCTCTTCCTCTTTGCTCATAGTCTCCCATTAACTGGCATTGGTCCTGGGGCCCAGCTTTTTCTCTAGGCTGTCTTTTTTTTTTTTTTTCTTCAGTACATATTTATTATTTCAAGATAGCATTAGAATTCAAATATATTAAGCCAAACTGTTTTTTTCTTTTTATTGTTGACTCTATTACAGCTGTTCCCACATCCCCCTTTGCCTCCCTCCACCCAGCCCCAGCCCCTCCCCTAGGCCCTCATCACATTATTGTCTGTGTCCATGAGCTATGCATATATGCATATATATTCTTTGCTTGATCTCTTCCCGTCTTCCTCTCTCTCCCCTCCCCTCTGAGATCTGTCAGTGTGTTCCATGCATCCATTAGGCTGATGTCTTGACCCTTTTCCTAAAGGAGAAGAGCTCCTGGCGAGTGTCTGATTCACCGCTGCCCCTTTCTAGGTGAGACTCTTAGGTTCTTAGCCTGTGATGGCCTGAAGGGCATTGGAAACATTCCCTGCCTGAAAGCAGGATTAAATACCATTTGAAGTATTGTTTTACCAAATTGCTGAAAATCCATGGGAAAAAGAGCTTATGACTTTGTAGGTGAGACAGAGCTTCCTCCTCATACCAACGGGGAACAAATGCTCATTATAACCCCCTGGCAGAGAAACATTCCTGAGGGTCTTCACTCCCCTCAACCTTAGGTGTGCATAGAGAGCTCCAAGACCCACACAGGTTAGTAGAGGAAGGACCTGCTTTTCCTGAATCACCTTTTACAAAGCTGCCTGCCCGGAGAAGAGTCCTGAAGTCTCTTTCCACCTCCGTGCATCTCTTGACTTCATAAACTCTTGAAAGTGTGGCGGTCATGCGATTAAAGTTTATTTCTGTAACATGAAATGTAGATTGCAGTTGGGGTGAGCCGAAGCCTGGTCTCCAGCCCTCTTCTCTTCTCAGTTCATGCTCTCTGGCCTGGGCCATCACATCAGACTCCAAGCCTTGAATGCCATCAGTATGCCAACGATTACCAAATGTGTATCTCCAGCCTTGAATTTCCCGAGTCTAGATTCATATACCAACTGCCTTCCCTGTATCAATGCCAGATGTGTAATTTGCAGCTCAAAATTACCATGTCCAAAATAGAACTGTTGATTTCCACTGCCTAAGCTTCAAACCATGTTTTCTTTAACCCTTCAACCAAACCATATTTTCCTTCAACCAAACCATGTTTTCAACCAAACTATGTATCCTTCAACCAAACCATGTTTTCCCAGATCTTGCCTTTCTCAGGAAGATGGTACCATCATCCAACCAGGTGTCTTTGGTTCCTTTTCCTCATCCCCACAGTCAGTCCATTTATAACACTTGCAGATCTTTCTTCTAAAGTGTATCTTGATCAAACCCACTTAGCTCCCTTTCTACCACTACCCTCTGGTCTAGACAGTAGTTCTCTCTCACTCAGACCTGTGCCCTAGCCTTTTGTCTGTCTGCATGCTTCTGCTATAGATTGTTGTTGTTTTTTAAATATATTTTTATCTCAGAGAGGAAGAGAGAGAGAGAAAAACATCAATATGAGAATCATTGATGGGCTGCCTCCTGCACACCCCCTACCTGGGGTCGAGCCCGCAACCCGGGCATGTGCCCCGACTGGGAATCGAACCATGACCTCCTGGTTCATAGGTCAACACTCTACCACTGAACTACATGGGCTGGGCTGCTATAGATTGTTTTAAGATATCAATCAGGCCACATTTCAAGGGCTTCCTATTTCACTTAGGATAAACCTTAAAAGCATCGTTCCAGCTTATAAAGACCTATGTGACTCAGCTCTACTATCTTTCCATGTGTTTTCCCCACTATTCTTCAGCCCCACTGGTCTTTTACTGTCCTCCACACGCCAAGTTCGCTCCTTTCTCAGGGTTGAGCTAGCTTTCTAAAATGCCCTT